TGCCACTTCTTTGGTCGAAACGTAAATGAGGTGGTAGCTGGTCGCATGATTTTCCTTTCATTACCGTATGTTGAAACTAGTCCCCTAGCCATATTCAAATGGATCCGTGTGTGTAATGGCAATCGACACTGCTATTTTGATGGAAATGAGCTAGTACGAATGTCCAAGGACTCGACGTTATTCATCTTGAGAGCCACAGTTTTGAACGACTTCGCTGACATCGAATGGGCGATGCCCAGATATCGAGAAGATATTAAAGGTCTGGGTAACTCAAAGCTGGAGTTATGGCGAAAAAAAAGAGAAAGGGTTTAAAGGTACCCTATTTTCCGGAGTATAAGGCGCTTAATTCGCACGTAATTATTTTTGTTTCTAAAATTTAAGGCATTTTATGCAGAGGGAAGTATCTTACTACGATCACAAAAGCGATATAAGCGTGTCGTGTCACACTCCACACTTGGCCCTGATCATACAGATAGGTCCAGGGCACCTTTCGATATAGCAAAGCAAGCTCTACAAAATAGTCTACAAAAGTTCGCCCCAACTTCGACTTACTACAAGTTTGCATTACTTATGTGAGTCGTACTGAAGGCTTAAAATTTAACATCTTCGTTCAAAATACGAATTTACAACTTGCTCAAAAATTGCACACTACATTAAACAACTCATATGTACCATTCCTGCATTTTTTTCTTCTCTAGAAAATGAGAAAACGGAAATTTTTACGCTCGCTTACAAACGAAACTATGCTGCTTCCACTTATGTAATTATATACTACAATTATAACCGGTAAATTTTCAGCTTTCCACAAGCCGTAGTTTCGAGAGATATGATCTTAGCATGGAACACCACCCGAGCGAGGAGAGCTAAACGGTAATTTTCGAAAACTAGGGCCTGTGGAAAATTGAAAATTACGGCTAAAAAGCCCTTGTTGTTAGCCCCCTCCCCTTCTACCCTTTCCCATAAGCACTAAACATTGCACTACAGTTTGGCCGTTTCGTTAAAACCTGGTACAAGGACAAGTAATTATGTTAGTCTTAATTATGATGACTTTTGATAAAAGTTTTGCCTTCTAGTGCTATTCTGCTTGTCCAGGAGCTAATCATTGATAAAAAGAAGCATAGTGAGTTTCGAAGCTAGTCGCGTTGCTTCTCCAGTCCTGAACAATAGAGTAGCGCTTTCGAAGCCGCTGAGACTTGCGGAATTTGAGCAAAAAGCAAAAGACAAGCTAGCGTGCGCAGTGATTCGAATGATGAGCATTTGCTTGATTGAAGCCGTTTGAAGGTGATCGAATGCATGAAGAAGTATATATCACATGTTATATCAGCATAATAACGGATTGCATAACTTCATGCGTGATTGAGATTCTCGATCGGGTCAAAAAAAACGTTACAGCTTGTACCTTTTGATTTAACTGGCTTGGCGGCTGGAAGACGGGGATTCGTGACCGAGTCAAAGCTAGATAATGATCAGAGAGTATGCGCGCGAAAGAGGCGCAGACTGCGTCGCGGTCGCGAGTGGTTAACTAGGTCAGAAAGCCCCGCCTTCCAGCCGCCAAGCCAGTGTTGAATCAGAGGTTATGTTCGTCTCGAGAGGAGGTGAAGAACTTGTGTGAGCATGCTTCTATTGATTTAAAGTGCTAACATAATCTTCTAGCCTTCAAGTATTTATTTTAGAGAACAAGTCACTTTGGCGGCCCTGAAATTATTTTGTTGGGAAGAACATGTGAAGCTGAAGTTTCTCGACTTATTCTCGAGGTTCTTTTTCTTCCCACCCAAAAAATTGAGTTACTAAAAATTCTAGTTTTTTTTCCAAGAAATATTTCGTGAAGCTATAAGTTCATTCAAGATTCATACTTAATTAAAGAGAGGAAATGACTCGCATACATATCATTTTTTGTCATGTTGCACTATCTAAATTTGTGAGGATAAGGTAGGGGGTATGGTAGGTCAATTTTTTCCAAACTAGCTGTGACTTTGGATAGTACATATTCGCCTACCCCATATCGTCGATCATTGTAGCAGGATCTACAAAAATAAGTTTTCTTGTGGGTTATAGAAGACATTATTAGTGTAAAATTTCATTTTTCTCAGTCTCTCAGAATTATTTCCATTTTTTGCAGCCGTATGATGGATTCATGTCCATTGTTGCTTATTTCTTAGAAGCTCTGAAATAAGAAAAAAACTTTAGATTAAAACTCCTCTGCAAAGCCACAGCCGCTACAAATCATCTTACGGCAAGCTCCTTTCTTTTGTTCGATGTTCGATAGCGGTCCAGTCTTTGAATATAAAAGAATTAATCATCTTTTCAATGTCCAGCTCTGCTTCACAGGAATCACGCAGCAATTTTTAGAAAAAAATGAATGGCTAGCTGACATTAATTGATGCTAGAAAGGCTGAGTATTTGAACTGCTTTGTTTTTTCTTACGGATTATTTACTTCTTATTCATACATTCACTATTTTATTTTTTCCTCTATACCTCTCATTCTTGTTTTGTTGGTTTGTTTGTTTTCGCTCTATAAATCTTAAAGCCATCAAGTTACTGCTGCCTTTGCTTTCTGGCGCTCTTTTTGTAAGTGAATGTTCCATGCTCATAATCTTCACTTAACAGCCAATCCTTCCACTTCTTCTAAGTTTTGCTTTTTGCTCATAAACCATTTATATAGTCAACAGCTTATTCATTCGCCTTTCCATAATATGGACCTATAAATCTTGGCCTATAACTGCTTGGAACTACATTCTTCGCCTTCTCAGACCTCATCTCCTCTTTTTATCCACTCAAATCCCTCTATAAACTATTGAAAGTGTCAATTGTTGAATCTATCGAGAAAGAATGGTGAGTTGGTTTTCAGCGAAAACTGCAGAACTTTCGGAAAATGAATGAGGGAGTGCCCTTGTGTGCATTGACGTACTCTTGAGTGTCTCTATCTTCTTACTGGAAGAGGCTCTTAACCGAATAAGTGACTAAATCTCCGCAAAAGTAACACATCAATGGAGTAGACTAGTTTCTATTGAAATCTCATTTTGAGGAAAGGAAATTCTAAGTTGATTTTGCTCTTGTAAGAATCTCAGAATCAACATTCATTAAAAAATTGCGGTTAAAGAGCACCGCTTAGATGCCTAGAATTTGCGTGATTTACGGTAACAGCGAAATTCAAAATGCATTGTTTTTTGCCTCATTTGTCTTGACCGAAAGGAATGTTCGGCATGCTCAAGTTCGAACCTTTTTTTCATGGCACGCCAAAAAAAGCCATGGTCGCTATATCCTTGTTTACAGAAGCGCCAAACATATATCTGTAGGATTTCACGTTTACACTTTCACAAAAGACTTACGCAAAATTTCAGCGTAATTTTAATTTTCGGAAACAGGAAACCAGCGTTTTGTAAGAGCAATCGAAAGGTTCTTCAGAAAAATTCAAGTGTTTGAAGCAGAAAAGGAATTTCATATTCTTGAAAATTGTCTTCATTTTCTGAGATTAGTTCGCAAAAAAATTGAAAAACTTACAGTAAATCTTGAAACCACTAGTAAGACTTATATGGCCTGTGAGCGGAGTTCATGAAATTAAGTATCTTTTTGTAAAGTTGTGAGTTTTGAGCGAAATACTGAAAACAAGTAAAGTTTGGAGGAAGCTTCATGAACTTCGGAATAGTTAATGACATTAATTTTACGGCCTAATTTTTAATAGAAAAAATGGGATCATTTTAGGTACTTTCTTGAAGATGGTGAGGCAGTTGTTCTGTGCCAAATATAGCCAAAAATTCTGTCATCATCAACATTCACCTTCACGTTCATTTCCAGAGGAAAAAATCTGCGAATTTTATTCTATGAATTTATAAAGAGTAAAAACAATAATGAGGAGGAAGCGCAAGAATCTAAACAGGCTTTTCAATGACGACTAACTTACCTTTGGCTATGCAAAATTTTACAAATTTTTCACAAGTTTCCTTAAACCCAATCCAACTCGAAACTCGGAAGTACTTTGAATTTGGTAATATATTATATTTGTTTGCTATGCAGCAAACTCATTTGCAATGTTAACCCCATTCGTATGTACCCATCCGTGAAAAGAGCTCTGGTTTGATCATCAAAATATGTTCAGCTAGTTTCCTTAGATGACATTTTTTCTCGCTCCCTCACCAATTCTAGTTTAACCTGAAATTTGGATTATTCTGGAAAAACAGTGTTTTATGCATTATTCATAGAAATGTTTCTGTTCTTACCATCTTAGATCGAATCCGTATTCGAAAACTATAGAAAGTCGTAAAATCGCAATTATGTGAAACAGGTTCCAATAATTGTGCTATGCATGCAAGACAAGCTAATTCACTCGTTGCGCATAAGGACCATTATTCTTGCTTAAAGGTGTTTGGTCATGACATATTAGGACAGCGAGAACAGTTCTGGATAAATATGGAGAAACTGGCAAGAATTCAATCGCTCGACTTAGTTAAAGCATGAAAAGAGAATAGTGTGAGCAACATGATAAGTTAAACCTGTGAATAAAGCAGTCATGGCTATGTGTTATAATTTACCTTTATTTTCAGTGAGTAAAAAATCTATCTACCTCCTAGGAGAAATTGATACTCAAAAAGATTAGACTTACAAATTTCCTGTCCGCAGTTGTACGCCTTTCCTTCCTGCCAAAAAAGTTGGCTTTTTCATGCAAAAGATGGAAAACTTTCCTCCAGTAGTAGGAAATGACTGATTATTCGGTAGTCGAATATACTTTATGCACACATTTGTTTAGAGTGAGGTTTCAAAGTTTATCTCAATCTTTTACTCAATTATTTTCCATTCATTCTCAATCAGGCAATTTACCGGAACTTTGGCAGGACAAGTACAATTTGCAACAATTTATTTATTTATTTATTGATACACTGTTGTGCACAGTGCGCCAGTACTAAGACACGAACGCAACGACAGACAAAAACAGTAATGAAACGAAATTGTAACATGCTCAACACCCTAGAGAAATTGAGGAGAGTAATTCTCTAAACTAGGTGCTCGTCAGTGTTGTCTTCAAAGTCAGAAAGTCAGTGTCGTGGGGACTAAACTTGGTATAAGTACAAGTCCAAGTACGATGCGTGACGGTATATAAATATACGGTCACTTTCGAGCGAAGAAAGAGGGATAAGCACCTAGGCGAATGAGCGAAATCATGCGTACCCGGCGGGCAGGAGACCTCGTTCGGCTTACCCCAACAACGCTAACATCGGACTTGGATACAAGATGATCAAGGATAAGAGACAGACATATAAAATTACACGACAAAGACGATGTCAGATTTAGAAGACAAACACTAAGCTGCGTATATCGGAAGAGAGCCTCTCAGGTCAAGAGCATGTCAGCAAAACAGCAATGAAAAAAAATGATTGATGGAACGAGATGGTCATACTAATGTATGCTATGCTGTAACCCATACAACGAGAAAATGAAAACAAAACAACAAGGATAGTCAATTTAGGCAAAGGGAACGTGGACCGAAGTTCAGCAGAGTTGTATCGACTGAATTGTACAGGCAACCATGGAAGGCCTCTGAAATCAAAACAGACGAGACAACATAAGTGAGTTAAAAAGGCGATCAACTTCCCAAGTGAAGTCCATGGGGCATTGGAAAATACAGTGAAGAAATAGCCAGCGTTAAACTGAGCAAGTCAACACTCTGAGAAAAAAAAGGAGCCAGCCAAGAGTAGAATTTAAAATGTAAGAAAAAAAAGTGAAGGACATAAGGAGAAACTTCATCTCAAAAGTACTCGGATTCATCTATTCCCAGCAATCTCAAAAAGTCACAATTAAGAAGTTTTTTTCTGAAAGTAGTTGAATTAGGAGCAGAGAGAACTGCGTCAGGAAGCTTTTGTAACCATCGAGAAGTGCGTGCGAAAAATGAGTTGTAGAAGAGTGTATTTGGAACAGTAGAGTCAATGCAGTGGAAGCTAAACCTACCTGTTCGGCCGTTGCACGGTCTCCAAACCCAGAATTCACTAGGAACAATTTTTGTTTCAAGGCGAATTATTTGGAAGGCAAGCACTAAGTCAGCCAAAACCCTTCGATACAGCAAGCTATGCAACTTCAAGTGGTCCAGCCTACATCTATAGGAGGGAAGAGTATACGGGTAATCCTCGCTTGGAAAAAATCTGTAATACATTACACGAGTGAAAACCATTTGGACTTTCTCCAAGGTTAGAATGTCTTTTTTTAAGTGAGGATTCCAGACTTGGCAAGCATACTCTAATGAAGGGAGAACATAGGCCATATACAGCTTGATGTATACTCTCAAGTCTACATGCTTCAAGTTCCGTAATAAAAGGAATACTCTGTGTAAGGCTGCACGCGAAATATTCTCAATATGAGATCTTAACAGGAGCTTATGGTCCATCAATATTCCAAGATCTCTTACAAGCACGGGCCTAGCCAGAGATATACTGGAGTGCGTGTACTCTTTAAGTGTGTTCTCTTGTTCATGCCTTTTGGTGATGGTCAAGCACACACTTTTACGCAAGTTAACATCAATGCAGTTCAAGTCTGCCCACGATAAGATTTTCTGAAGGCAAGCACTCAAGGCATCAGTCACTTCGACTTTGTCCTCATCAGAGTATGAAGCAAAAACTTTTATATCATCTGCATATGCCATGACTTTGATTCTCCAATCAATTGATAGAAGGCCGGGTAACTCACTTGTGTAGATATTAAAAAGGATAGGGGATAAGACACCACCCTGGGGTACTCCGCTGGTTGCCGAGAAGATAGAAGAGATGGCTGAGTTGACTCGTACCGAGAGTGTTCTCTCAGTCAGATAAGACGTGAGCCATTTTAGCATACCTCCACGAATTCCAACTGAATATAGTTTCTCAATTAATTTGTGGATGTCTACTCTGTCAAAAGCTTTGGACAAGTCAAAATAAAGAACATCAGTTAATCGATTTTGTGCCAAGGCTCTTTTCCAGTAAAAATCACAAGTAATCAGTTGGAGAGTAGTGGAAGATCCCTCCATAAACCCAAACTGTTCAGACGGTATGAGATGCTTTTGCACGCAAAATGACAGCAGTTTCCTTCTTACAATCTTCTCAGCAACTTTGCAGACCACAGAGTTAATGCTTATGGGCCGAAACTCCGAGGCCTTTTGTGGGTTCTGAACTTTAGGAATTGGTACCACCCTTCCGTGCTTCCATACTCTGGGTAATTCACCACTGCTCAAAGACATGTTGACAAGTATTGAAACAGGAACTGCTAACTGAGTGGCACATCTTTTGTAAACCATCTGGGGAATTCCATCAGCAGTAATGAAGGTCGATGGTTTCAATCTTTTCAGAATGTTCATAACATCAAAAGGCAGGACTTGAGGAACTTGTGAAAGGTATAAGGAACTTTGTATCTGATTGGTTAGATCATTAGGAAGGCTAGGTCTAGAGTTTGTCGGTTTATGGAAAACCGATGCAAAATAATGAGCAAGACATTCGGCATTCTCTTGATCAGTCTTGCATAGATTTCCTTGGTGATCATGCAATCCTTGAGGGCCATGCTTTTCTTTGAAAATCAGGTGGGCATACTTGAAGAGAGAGGAAGTGTTCATGTTAGATAGTCTTTTCTGCCTATTCGCACTGAATTTGGCTAGGTGTCTGTTCAACTTTTTTACCACGTTTTTATATCTATCAGATGTCAACGGGTCATGGATTGTGCAAAACAAACGATCCCTTTGTTCTATCAAGTTCTTGATGTGAGTGGGGTAGTGGTCAGTCTCGTACCTTGCTCGTTTCAATGGGATGAAACGCGACAGTAAGTCGTGTAAAAGGTCAAGAAAGCGTTGATACATGTCATCAATAGAGCAAGAATTGTCGAGCAGGGACCACCAATCAATAGTGTCCAAGCAGGCAGAAATGGCCACATAATCACCGCTCGCATAGTCAGGGCAACAATCCATACAGGGGAAATCAATCGGCAACATAAGGTCAAAGTAAATGCTTGCATGGTCAGATAACCCAAGCGGTGGTCGTATAGTCACATTATGTACGAGAGGCGAAGTTGACAGTACCAAATCAAGGATATTATCATTCCTCGTGGGACACAGTACATGCTGAGTGAGAGAAAGATCATCGAACAACTTGATAAACCTGGCAGATGCAGAGCATAGTGGCGTTCTAGCCGACCAATCAATAAGCAAGTTAAAATCGCCAGCAAGAACAATATCACGATGAAGGCTACAAAGAATTTGCAACGAATCAATGAGTTTGGAATCATCACTATGAGAAGAAGATGGAGGGCGATAGACGAGGATAATCATACATTGAGAATGCGTCACATTATCTGATATTTGTAAGCATAGTGTTTCACTCAACCCCAAACTAGTTACTGGTATCTCTTCACAAATAATAGTTTCTCGGACAAATATACATAAGCCACCGCCACGCCTTTCTGGACGATCCTTTCGAAAAATTCTGTATGGAAGGTTTGAGCTCAATTCGGAAGATTCAATAGAAGATGATAACCAAGACTCAGTTATACAAACTAAATCGGGCTTATCATGTACCAAGAGAAGACGAAATAAATCAATTTTGTTTAATAAACTGCGGGCATTCAACAACACACATTTCATATTACGGGTACCATGCTCATAATTTAGTTTCCCTGCTTTGGTTGTTGCCCTGAGCTCCCTTGCAGATCGGCAACTTTGACCAGATCCCCCTTGTAGACAACGTATGCTTTGTACCCAAGCTCCTGATTTTTTACGCGTGCCTCCTTACGCAGCTCATATTCCTTTTTACGTTGTTCTGCTGTAAGGCTTGGCCTAATGTATATGTTAGAAAACCGGGGATTGTTGCGCAGCAATTTAGCCTTGCTAAGTACTGCGAGGGAATGCGCCTTAGATGGGAACATGATTTTAGTCAAGCGGGGTTTGCCCTCTGAACCCTTCCCCATCCTAAAGACAGAAGTAGGCCTGACCTCAACTCCAAGATCATCTAGGATATCGGTGACCTTGGATTCCAAATCAGCTTGCTTAGCCGAAGGTCGCGAGTTAGATGCTAATTCCGGTATCCCGGCGACCACAATGCTTCTCACACGAAAGAACTCTTCACAAATCATACGAGAGTTGACCAAGATTGATCGCAAAGCATGGAGCGAGTCCATGACCTGCGATGGGACACGAGGGGTACTCTCGAGAAAAGTCGATATCGTGTGTAAATGCATGGATATGTCACCAGAAAAACCGGGATCAGACAAACCAGCAATAAGAGGATCATCACTCAGAGTTTGGGAGACCTGAGAAATCTGAGAAAAAGAGGCTTTGGATTTGCTTTGAGAAGAACGAGTCGCAACCATGACAAAATCTACAAAAAGATCGAGAAAAAATCGACAAAAATCGAGAGCGCCAAAGAAACACGACCGCTCAATGCGCGGGCAATGATAAGAATGATGATTTGCAGGATTTTGTTTACTATCGCAAAAGTGGAAACTTTGAAAATGGGAGCTTCCGCAGGACTTGTTCCAAAGCACTGGGTACTTCCGAAAAATGCCAGCAATTCCGCACTTTGACATGCCAGTACTTCCCCAGGGTTTGAATTTGTCTTGTGAATGTTGCCTCGCCAACAAAGAGTTTATCAAACATGTCAGCCGTGGTGCAGAGAATAGTCGGTGAGTCTTACAGTCAATAGAGTAAGCTTTGAATCTCGCTTAGGTGTTTCCTTTTGCTGTTGTGGTTCGCATTCTTCTGTAGGTGTAGCCACTGTAGGTGTACTGTAGAACTTCAGCAACTTCCGCAGGTAACATGGCGGAACTTCCCAAACGTTCTGCGGAAGTTCCGGTCAGTTGTCTGTATATTCAGTTCACTCATTTATCTTTGAATCATTTGCAATTTTTTTATTGTACATTCATCATTGATCCTTCACTGAGTAACGATCATTAACACACGTCCACATAGTGCCCTTAACACATTCACGACAATACGACCCACCGGTGGATCGTATGTGTTCTGCCGTTTCGGACAATATGACCCACGGGTGGGTCGTAAGTTTGACAAAGCGGAGAAAGTTCTGGTCCTAAAGGCAGTAATTGAAAAATCGGCCTTCTCGTAAACGTGTTGAAAGCCACTGCAGGTGTGCTGTAGATGACAGTTAGGTTGTTTAATTTACTGAAAATTTTAAGTGGACCTAAAAGACTCATCCCACTGGGTAAAAATCCACAGCATGCTGATCAAAGTGTTAATACCCGTCCATCGTTCTCCGTCACCTTAATCTCAACTTATTAATATTCAAACTAAAATTTCATTACGTTGTTCGAGTTGTTGCTATTCACATCATCTATACTTCCTTGTTCTAATCACTGGTAGCTATCTTGCCATATCACAGAGAGTAGCGTTTGACGAAAAACGGTCGGCAAGATGGTTTTCCGTCTATGCTAATTTTGGGTCAAGGTCGCCCTTCAGTGCATAACTAGCACTTAAATTGTTTCGGCCATTTCGGGAATGAAATCAGCGGTGTTCGACCTTGACCGTAGAAGTTGAGCGCACTTTACCTGTACGCTCTATGCGATGGTTAATTTCTAGGAAATGTGATAAAAACACTTAGCCACTAATCGCCGCAGTGCCAAGTCATAAAAAGAAACCAGAGAAGGAAGTGGGGGGGGGGGGGTGGGGGGAAGGACGGGGAAAAGGAAAATCGAGGAAAGGTGTGGTGAAGAATTAGCAATAGAATCTCGTCACGCTAGATTTGTTTGAAATCAATGGAGCAGAGAAATAATGTTGACAAGCCATTATAAAAGAAGCATAACAAAGAAAGACGTCTCTCTCACATTGCGCATTAGTTTTTTTCTTTCAAATTACTACTTTGAAGAACATGACGAGCGTTTTTGTCCTACGGTAAAAACTTGCTATAGTCTTGAATACACGTGCATAGTAGCTACTTTTTATTGTGCCAAAAAACAACTTATGTTGTTAACGATTAAAAATAGCTTTGAAGAAGAGGCAAGGGCAGGAAGATGCAATATAGGAGAATTTCTACATCTGCAAATAGTAGAGAAGTAGTAAAATAATTTTAAAGTCAGTGCTGGGTAAAATCACCTCCTGCTTAGTTTACTTACAGTGCCAAAATTGCTAGATTGATTACTACAAAAAGAAGTGATAAAGGAAAGAAATAGAATTTGTCTCTACAAATGCCTGGAAGTAGTTAAATACGGAAAATTGAGAAAAAACCGTTAGTATTTATTCTGCCGGATTTCTGTTACACTTTACTTTTACTTTTTGTAATTCCAAAAAACTTTCGAAAATTCGGCCTACATTTATTTATTCTTTTATTTAAATATTTATTTATTCTTACACCCTAGTGTGCGCCAAAATAAAAAATCTAAAACAATATGGAGCAACTATATCTACATATGGAGCAACTTTGAGGATTCTAGGAAACTTCTGGAATTTTTCAGAATTTTGCAAAGAAAAGTTTAACAGAAATCATCCGCCAACCTATTAATTTCAATCACTTAAAGCTTAACTTAAGCAGCCTATTAAAGATTCTTGTTGTTGGTATTATCCTAGATATTTCCCCAAATCCAAATATTGAGATTGGAGATGCAAATTTTTTTTAGTGTTGTTAGGGTTTTTCAAAAAAAATATGCTATTTAGAATCCCTAGCCAAGATTTTTTTTATTTTGATCTCACAAACTGAAAGACGAGTGAACGGTTTGCTTATCTCTATAGTAATTTTCATTGATTAAGAAACAATATATTTTAATTATGCAAATTTGCTATTCAGAGCTGATTTTTATAGAGAGCTTTCATTGAGTAAAAAAATTTTACAAGGTGCGTAGTTGCTTCAACGAGACTTCTGTGTCTCTCAGGATTTGCCAGATTTGCGGAAGAAAACTTTACAAAAGTTTTTATTCAAGAAACTTTTTTTGTTCTAAATGCAATTTACAAACGAAGATGCGAGAATTTGAACGCAAGGTCATTATGAGTTTTTTCGTCTTTTTTTCTACCTCTTTCTACAACGAGAAAAAACAAGAATTTCAAGGATGTCTGACACATAGTGGCCTTTAATGATATTATATGTATATGATGCAAGCTTTGTATATTTTTTTAGATATTGGTAGATCAAATGCAATGTCTAAGTTAGGACAGGATAATTAACTTGGGCACTTCTCCGCCCCCTTCCTATTGATGCACACCACTCGCCGAAATTCATCCTGCGCAAGGCGGGGCTATAACTTTTCCCACGTGAGGGCGGAGTCCTTTGAGGTCAACACTATAAAAGTGCCAACACTGGCTTCAGATTCGTCATTGTCATCGACTAAGGATGATCGAGGATAAGGTGATCGTCGGTGCTGCTTCCGCATGTTCACTGCTTGCCATTGGCGCATGTCTTGCCGTTTTGCCATCACTCTACTATGAGATCAATGAAGTTCATGATCAGGTGGGTAAAGTTTTTCTCTTTGTTAGAGGCAGCGTCCGGGAAAAATTTCAAAAAAAAATTTTTTTTCGCTTACCTGGGCTTATTTTTCCCGCTGATTCCGAAAATGCAGCCTAAGAGTAAAAATGTCGAAAACGGGCTATTCCAGAACCGATTTTGAATATGGAAATGGTATTGTACCACTTGCTTTAGAAGCAAAGTGGTACAATACCATTTGAGCAAGAGCTTTATCAGGGCGGGAGCCCCTGTACGGAATTTATATACCGGACGCTGTCTTTAAGAGTACAGATTGAGTGTCGGGACCTACGTAGGATGCTTGGTTGTTATTAAAGAAACTAATGCGTATAGAGGTGTGTGAGGAAAAAGAAAAGGGCGAATTTACTGAATTTGACTCAAGATCTTCTGGCTAAGTAGTCCGTCCTGTTAAAATCAAAAATGTTAGTAAAAAAGTAAAAAATCACCGGGACTAAAATATATCTTCCTTTAATGAGTTACAGTATGCGCTATTACACAGTTAAGGGTATTTTTGTTGAACTGATTTCAAATTGGGATAGATATCCATTGCCCACCATGCGATGATGAAGCGTTAAAAGTTAGACATAAATAGCATGACTCAGCAAACTCTATTTTTTTAACCTTTAGCAGGAAGATGGCTTTCCTATCTTCTGTTTTTCCGTGTTATTTATTAAAAAAAAGATTTTTCTAAGAAAAAATCAAACAATGGCAGCAAAATTTTTCTTTGTGGATCCACTAAAAAGACTTGAGTCTTAAACAGTTTGTCTGTACTGCAACATCTTGACCTGAGTTCATCTCAAACACAGGCTTTTTTGCAGTCCATTGAGCGAGTTTAGAGAAATTCTGACTTACTAGTACATCATTTTTAATGGAGTACTTTACCATCAAAGAGTGCACTCATGTCTCTATGTAGTCGAATTTTGCAGAAAATCACGAGTCATCAATAAGGAATGCCTAGTTGCCGAACAAGAATCTTGTACCTTAATGGAGGTTTTAGTCCTACGGAATTTGTATAAAACGTTGCGAAGACCTCCAGCTGTTCAATCGAATTTGCAACCAGAAAATTTTGAGCTGTGATGTGCATAGAAAACTGATTTGCCTTTAAATTGCTCGGCAAAACCGGCTTTCAAGCATGTTTTGGATGCTACTGTGAGCATACACATGTAATTTTTTAGTCTTTCTAGACAAGTAAGATTTGACGATTTCAAGAATTGAGCGACTGAGAAGAGAAAATCCTCAAAACTGCTTCAATCACTTGACTACTCATTGTTTTTCCAGGTTCTTGACTCTGTCGCAATGTTTCGCCTTGAAACGGATTCGGCATGGATCGACATGATGGACATTCAAATCGCCGTCAGCCCGCCTTCAAAGCCCCGACAAAACCCATTCAACTCGATCTTCCGTCAGAAAAGACAAAATTTCCGTGGGCTACCATCATGGTGTGTATGTGAACCGCGACCACCACGCTGTCCTCCGGGACCTCCAGGACCACCTGGACGTCCGGGACCACGCGGAATTCCGGGAAATCCTGGCCCACCCGGACGTGATAACACACATGTGAGTAATCGACATAAGCATCTTATATTATTGTAGCTAGCTTCAATTTCTAGGTCTACGCTCCCATCACATGCCCACCATTTCAACCTGGATGTGTCAAGTGCCCTCCAGGACCTCGCGGACCACCCGGAATTACTGGACCAATGGGACGCCCGGGACCAAGTGGACGACCTGGCATGCAAGGACTACGTGGCAAAAATGGCCTACCCGGACCACCCGGCCCTCTCGGAGATCGCGGCGCGCCTGGTGCACCTGGTCGCCCTGGTGGTCCCGGCAAGCCCGGAATGGATGGACGGAAAGGCCGTGGCGCACCTGGACCCCCTGGACCGCTAGGGCGACCTGGTCCACAGGGACGCCCTGGACCACTTGGACTTCCAGGACGTCCTGGTAACCCAGGAAGGCAGGGACCTCAAGGACAACCGGGACCACGTGGACAACCGGGTGCTTCTGGACGCCCGGGTATACCAGGCGCACCAGGTCTTCCTGGACATGACGCCGCATATTGTCCTTGCCCTCCAAGGAGTGCTGTCTATACTAATCGAGTTTATAAAGCGGCCAGGGTAGTGAAGAGACATTAGTTAGAGAATTTTCGTGTAGGTTTGGTAGTTTTTCGCTACATAAATCTTGTTTTCGCTGTTATTGATGCAGAACAAAAAACAAACCTTGCTAGTTGACAGAAGTAGATCAGCACGGTATTCGAAAATTATGAGCAGTATGAGGTACGGTAGTCGTCTGCATATTGGGAAAAAACATCTTTCTCTCCATTTAGTTTTATAAGCTTTTTACGCGAGTCTTTCGGGCTCAACACCTTTCAATTTACTCGTAAAAATAGAAGGACTAAAAATGCTTTAGTGCTTTTCCATGTACGATTTATGGCATCCTAGGAAATCCAAGTCCAGCGAAATAATTTTCATTTGCATTTCTTCCTAAGGCACAGGAAGAAAGGCATTCCTCTTCTTCTAAGCACATTTCTGTTCGAATCCAATTACATAAGCACTGAAGTGGTTCTGCCTTATACGCACATGCATAACACTCACAACAAGCGCATCAACCGGCTATGTAATTGATGGCATTTTGGCTCATCCAATCGGTGCCCCACTTAGATGTAGCTAGTATGCGCAGTAAAGAAAATAATGTTTTGTGTGGGAGAGAGGAAGAGGAGGGTGAAGAACAGAGAGAAAAGAGAGGAGCTGCTTGATTATTAGTGCCACAAAAGCCGCAGTACTTTCTGGGTAACGATTCTTATTTAAGAATAGCTATGGAAATATAGTATGAAGTTCGAAAGAAAAAATGTCGCTCTTCTAGGGTTGTCCAGCCAAAATTGTTGTCTCTCAAAGCTAGTCCATATCTAAGGCCAAAATATCGTGAGTGAAGTTTCAAAGATTTGTGGTATCAAACTGCATATAAGGATGGAGCCTAGGGCCATTGGGGGAAAGAATTTCCCGTTTTCGTTACTTTTTGTTGATTTCCAAGCAAGAACCTATAGCAAGTCTACATGTGCATGAATGCACGCGTCTGTTATATGCAGGAGCAAGTGAGAGGTTTGTAGGATTTTCTGAGGCAAAAACCCGACTTTTGGCATTATGAGTTGCCCTTATATTCTAGCTCTTAAATTTTGCCTACATCACCAATTTCGCAATGTTCGAAGGTGTACGGCTTACTTTGCTTTATATAAACTGATTGGCACTCCTCGCATATTTTTTGGATTAGCCTTGTTGCTTTGCTATGAAAAACGACATTCTTTTCCTAACCTATTCGCTTACTCATACGTAAAGCTTACTATGGGGTGCTATCGCCCATACACAAGACCTTCCAATTATTCAGCTCTCGGCAGCAATAGACATTCCATAATTTAAAGAGACACTTCTACAAAAGCGTACCTTCATGACTCAAGGGCATCGTCCACTCTAAGTTAGGAGTCTTGAGCTTTTGGCAGCTTACAATAGCAGTACCCCTATCTAGCCAATGCCCAAGTCGCGGAGCGAAATGTTGCTTCGAAAGCGAGAAAGTGGCAAAAAGTAGGCATGTGGACTCCAAGTCCCCCCCCCCCCCCCAGTAATGTTCGCCCACCCCTGAGGCCCATATCACCTTTTCGGAGAACATGCCTGCGGGTTTTCCGGAACGGGGATTGTTAGAGTTTTCGCGGATTCTCAACTTTCTACTTCATATTCGGAATTAGGGACATGAAAAGATCCCGAAACGCGCAAAACATGGAATACAAAAATCTGGGTGGACAGTGCCTTCAAACTGAGCCGGACTTCTCATTGATTCTCATGATTTGCGAAAAAAAGTCTGCCAATGCAGTGCTGGCCATAGCTATAGCCACGCTAAAAAATTACGACAATTTGCTTTGTTTCGGAAAAAAATGTCTGAAAAACCACTGTCCTGTGCATAAACCAACGCTATATCGTTGTCTGGATCGGCTCTCAATTTCATTGATTTTGCCCGCAGAAAAAATGAAAAATTCGAAAAAACGGATTCCGAAAAAAGCCACCTCTTGTTTTCAAGCAATACGACAGTCTTCAAGCCTAGAATTTTTTGTACAGTTACAGCACTAGAATATGAAACGTTTGTTGCACCTGGAAGCTCTTGCCTTCCAAAAAAAGGAAAGTCAAAGTCAACAAGTAATTTACACTTCTTGTTTTGCTTCAGGATGCATAAAAAGACACTTTATTTCAAAAAACTGCTGGTTTACTAAGTTTCCAAGCACTTATGCAACTCGAATGAAGGTATTGGGACTTGTTGAGCCTTTTCGAATGCGGTAAAAAGCGCTTGCCAACTTTGCGTAGTCACTGATGTTGATGAAAGGGCCTCAACCTCACCTTCAGATAGACGAGTCTTGGAACCACAGAATTTCGATTTTGATGCTCGAAAAACTAGGTCGTCTATTCAACGACAAAATTGTGCGCATTGCAAGACATAACAACTTCTAGAATTTTTCGCCATGAACGCTATTCCATCAAAAATTGGTAACCCCCACTGCGTAAACAAGATCCACTCTGAAGCATTCGATCGAACACCGCTCAAAACTTTTCAATTTTTTTTTTACTAATTCTAACAGTTCCGTAAGAATTGGCTTGATGCGGAGTTAGAGTGAGTAAAATTCGGGTCGCGTTAGATTCCCTGCGCACAGCTGAACTGCAGATGAAGCATTTTGATTTGAACGTTGCGATTGCGTGTTTGCAAAAATTCTGACAACTTCTGCATAAGTACCTCGTCACGCAGAGTGTTCAACTTTTGACCAGAAGTTTCGCTCGTCGGAAATCGAGTTTTGTAGCTCATAGCGTGCTTACAACCATGACAGGGTTGAGGTTTGTTCATCAGTAACAGCGGCAACTCAAAGTTGACTCAAGCGGTCTTCACCGCGGTCATTGCAAATGCTCAACAAATCCTTATATCTTCTTCCACCGAGCTAAAAAGTGCTTGGAAACTCAGAAAACTGGCAGTATCTCAGAATAATGTGACTTTCTAAGCATTTTAGAGCAAAAAAAGCAATAAAGATTTTCTTTGTAAAGGGCGACAGCTCCCAGAGGTACAAATGTTTTATATGTTGGTGCTATACTGTACAAAAATTTCTAGGCTTAAAGAATGTCGTGCTTGAAAACAAGAGGTGGCCTCATAGCTGTGTCCAGCCTTCGAAATGCCTTTTTTCGAATTTTTCGATTTTTTTGCGGGCAAAATCAATGAAGCTGAGAGCCGTTATGGACAACGGTATAGCGTTGGTTTGCACACAAAATAGTGTTTTTTCAAAGGATTTTTTTCGAAACAGGGCAAATTGTCGTGATCCTTCAGAGTGGCCATATAGCTATGTATGGCCAGCACTGTATAGTCGAATTTTGTAAGCTCTTCAAGGTGTGTGTTCCGTATAACTCCGTTTGCTCGAACCGATAGAGCTAAAACTTAGCACACATGCACTTGCCAAAGTCCCATTTTGTGTTATCAGCAATATTCAATGATAGAACCCATGTCAGTCGTGTTTCTATTAAAATAGGAAATTCTGCTCAGAATTTGATAGGATTCCACAGCATATTGAGACGAGCATGGAGAGCAATTGTCATGAGAAAAGGCTTAGCAACTGTAGTGGGTGGCAAAAGTTACACAGATAAAAGAGGCATAGCTTAACCTGAAGTGGTCAACCCGTCATTTATGAGGTCTCAAATTCGTGAAGATTGCAAAGTTGACTAGAGCGCTACATCGTCTTCATATGTGCTGTAAGGTAAATTTTCTGTTAGAAGCCCTCGTCACAGGGAATTTCTTCCACCCTCGTATTGGGCATCGAGAGAAGATCAAGCAATTTAATAAAAAAAGAAAAGAAAATTACCTAATTTCCGTTTCGTTCCTATCACTATACGGAAAGTAGGTAAGCATACGATCTTCCCGGAACTCATCAGTAGTGAAGGAAGATCGTAAATCATATATAAAAAAAACAAAAACAAAAACAAATAAAGGAAGATAAACTAACCTAAATTATAATAATGTAGTTGCTTGATCCATTGGATGGCATAGAGTAACCTATAATTTAAAAAAACAATAAATAGTTGGTATATATTGTAAGCAAAGCACAAGTATCGAGAAAACGTGTATCTATGTAGTAAGTCTGTTAAGATAACTTTCAAAATTGAAAGTTCCCGCTCGGTGAAGGATGTCAAATACCAGAAACAGACTAGAGCATGTTTTCTGCATTATCCTCAAAAGACAACTCTGTAACTGTGGTGTGTGACAATTGTTCTTAAGAGTATGTAAACTGATGTCAGAAAATTGATCTAATTACATTGAGTATTTCTTCATCTGTACCTTTACAGCAGTACTTAGTCACTATAAATTTGTTTTTGTGAAGACATTTGAACACTGCACTCATTATAGTTCCTTCATCATAACCGCATTCCAAAAGTTGGTGTTTAAGTTTGTGAATTCTACATATGAAGTCTTCTTTCAAAAAGCAAGTACGAGCAATTCTGAGTGTTTCTGTGTATATGGTAGCTTTTTTAACATTAATAGAAATGCAAGAAGTCATATGTGGAAATCTAATTACACTATTCTGAAAGCTATCGGTTTTATTATATAGCTTAGTGTAAATTTTGTTGTTTAGTATTTTTAATTCTAAATCTAAATAACAGCAACTAAATTGGTTTGGATTTGTAGTTTCAAATTTCAAAGAATTTTCATAGACTTGGATCAAGATATTGTTTATGTCAGACTGTTGCATATTATGTATGATAAGTATATCGTCCATATATCTAAAAGGACAGAAATGTTTACCAATCAGATTATCTTTAGAGAACTTATATTCGAAGTAGGAGAGTGTCAAATCTGCTAGAAGAGGACTGGCATTTCCACCTTGTGGTACACCGTTGGTTTGGACATAAAGGTTGTCTGAGAATCTGCAATAACTGTTGACTAGCAAGGAGTTAACTAGATGTAGTAGGTCATTAATTTCATAGTATCTGTAGCAATGATACTTTCTGTCATTGCTATAAAATATTTTATTATAACCATTACTAGCTATGTATTTCTTATTAGAATTTTTAAAGCATAACTTAAATATTTCCTTAATGTTATTAATGATAAGTCTGTGTTTTAAATTAGTGAACATGTCGTTAAAATCAGCTGAGTAAAGTTTCATATTGTTAAATTGCAAATGATTTAATGTGTGGCTAATATTTATATCATCAAT